GCGGTTTTGTTGTTGTTGTTGTTTTTCCCCAAAAAAGTTTGATTTCCTTTAGCAAAAACAATGTGGGTTTTTTTGGTTTTGTTTTGTTTTGTTTTTTCCAAAAGGGCTCACAATGAACATCTAGAAGAGGGAGATTCCCTGTGCACTAGTGCTGATAAGGTACAAACAGCAGGAACAGAAACACTGTCAGTTGCTAGTAGTTGTGTATCAATCCCAACCTTGTCTGATCTCTGCCTTAACCCAAAGGGCACTTGGTCAGCTGCAGACCATGTGCTGTGGAATGGCCACTCAAAGCCTATCGAGAAGACCTTTTATGCCTACAAAACTGGCTTAAACCCCTGGATTTGCACTGATGTGAAAGAATGCAGCATTTTTCAGTGCTTTGCTTGCTTGCTAAGCAGCCAGGCACATTATAGAACTGCCACAAACTTAGAGTCGAAGCCAGATTCCCAATTATTGCCACATCTGGCCATGTCTGAAAGTCCCAGAAGCAAAGAGAATGGGATACCCATCTCCACATCCTATAGAAGCAGCTGGGGAGGCCATCCTCATCCCTGCCTCCAGTAGTTTGAACAATAAGCCAGCCCCATGCAGCTGCAGGTCTAGTGCTGGTGTTAAGATTCCTTATAGGAATTGAACATACGAATTGGATGCTTTTCCACTGCATCTGCATAAGGATGCATGTGATGACCTGCCAGTTGAACTTGGACACAGAAGTCTCACATCTGCAGTACATTTAGTGTGGTTGAAAAACAGAGTGATTCACAGTTTGGGCCTGATCAGATTAACTTTGAAAATACGTGGTGCCATGAGATGTTATGAATCATATCTCTAAATAGAAAAAAAAACAGCTTTGCTGATCAAGCAAAGCCAGAGTTCAGATTTGAGAGCGGAAGTGACTGGATGACTCGTGAGGGTCAAACAAAGCCCCAGAGATGTGAGTGAAAGACCAGCTCAGGTAGGAGACTGATGGTCCCTTAGGGCCTTACATGTGCAAGCTGTGTGAAGGGGCCTTGTTCCTTGCTCCAGAGCTGAGGAGGGTATGCTGCTGCTAGTGTCTCTGTGGCATGTGATGGCACAGTTGCTCACAGATGACAAGAAATGCTGTGGATGCATCTGAGATATAGCCAAACTTAAATGGCCAAATTCTTTTTGAAAGCACAGTAGAAGAGGCAATTGAAGGAGCCTCCGAGCAGTGATCCTAGGAGTGTTTTGAGGAGTACACAATCACAGCCAAGATTGTCCAGAGTCTGTATGTAAACATGCATCAGCTCAGCTGCATCTGCTGGCCCATCTTCTCCCTTTGTTTAAGTTCTTGGTCTCCATGGCCGCTGCAAGCAGATCACAGCACTGCTGAGGCAGCAATCAATGCTGCTCTGAATTCAGCTTACTACTGAGAATGCCAAGTTTAATCTTGAACTCAGTGAAACAATCCAGGGCAACAGAATGAGTAATTCATGTTGCAAATCATTAATGACTATGAAGCTTTGAGAAAAAGAAGTCGCTGTCATTTAAATGGTGAAGGCAATTTCTCTCTCCTTCTCCTAGACCTCCCAAGTCAGCATATCCCTCTCTAGCATGGAGGATGATGGTGCTTCGCTACTTTGAGCTTTCCCAGGGCAACCAGGACTAAGTCTCACCTGCAGCCCAAGTCCTCTCTGTCTCCTTCTGTCCCTACTGCAGCCTGCTGCGAACTGAAACAAAGAGCACAGCTGGCTCTATGCAGACCTGCTTCAAGGGTGGTAGGAATAATGCAGCTTTAAAATACCTGAGCAAAGCCCTGACTAGACTGAAAGGAGCATGCTTTACAGCTGTGCCTACAGGTACCTGATCAGCACCCCTCAAAAGGGATGCTTAATCAGTGTCACAGCTGCCACTGAGGAAAAAATAATAATAAAATAATTGAGACTGCCTGGCTACAGGTGAAATTTAGAATGGAGGTAATAGAAGGAGTTTTATTGCTTAGAAGAAAGTATCTCCTATGCTTGTATAAATATATCTGGATTTCACAGCTTTACTTTGTTTCCTCAAAAGTGAAAATGGTAACTTGGGGACACCAGTAAGAGTGTCCCCAGGAGCAGGTGGCATTGTGGTATATTGTTTAAAGATGTATGAGTTGCTCTTTCTTATCTGTGGGTCTCTATCCCTGAGAACCACACCAACTAAGCTGAAGAAAAATGATTTATGTCAGTGAAGTGAAGCAAGTATCTGCTGGCTTGGAAATAAATTCTTACCCTGACTGCCTGGACCACTGAACTGGCTCCAGAGGCATCCTGTACGGCAACGGGTGGCTGCTATTCAATTTACATCCAAGCTCAGCTCTCACTGAATCTAAAGTTATGCCATGCACTTATTCAGAGAAAACAAAAAGGCAATTACACATCTTGTTTAATGTCATTGGACCAACAGACAGCACAGTACCAACGCAAGGTACCAAGAGTGTAATGATTAAGGCCTGATCTCAGCAGTGAGTGCCTTGAAAGCCAGTGGCAATGATGTGCTGGGTGCTCTGGTTTCATTGCAGTAGTGTGTGTGGAAGGAACTGGAAAGTGAGCAAACAGCAGGAGAAACCGTTGAGAGTGTGAAACTTAAAAGGGTTAGAAAAACTCGTGGTTCCTGGGCCTCCTGGAAGGAAAGCTTTATCTACACAGAACTGTGTTTAAAAAGGCTGTATTTCTCCATCTTTGTATATGAACAGGATTGCTGTATCAAAAGCAGTAGCTCTTTCTGCAGCCAAACATGACCAACTTGCTTAGTTGTGCCTACCTGCCTCAGGATTAGCACTTACAAGTCAGGAGTGTGGAACAGAGGCCCAGTACCACAAAGTTCAAAATCTATCCATTCCCAGTGTAGCTTGTGAAACAGTGGGATCTGCACCAGCTTGTATCAGCAGACACAGCCCTTTAATTCCCATCATCGCAGACCAGCAATTCATTAAAGACACATCTCAGAAATACACCAGACTTATCAGAGCAATCACTTTCTCAGGAATTGTTAGAACAGCAGAGTTCTAATGGCTCATGCTTAGATCCTGCAACCCTTCCAAGCACAGGGGTTCCATCAACAGACCCTAATGCTCACTTTCCTTTGTACAGTCCTTTATGATTACCTATCTGCATGGCAGCTAATAGGGTGCTTATTAAAGTCTTCACAATCACTTTAAAACAAGATTTTTAGAAAAATCAGTTATTAGTCAAATAACCCATTTGCATAAGTATTACTTTCATACTTTCAATTACTCTTGTCGTTTCCTAGTTAAAGGAGCAGCATCCCATTCAGAAGGAAAGCAGATATGAATTTGCCTTCAAAGGAGCCCAAAACACAGAGCCAGGTCTGAATACTGCTCTGATGATGACTTACAGGAAAAATCCAGCTTACAGTGCTGCAAGGCTGAATCCATCCAGTTTTAATAGGCAGCTCTGAATCAAAATCAGGAACTGCAGATCCAGCTCCAAAGCTAGCATTTGTTTTTGATACCCTGCTGCTATACCATAGGCAAGCAAAGCACAAACCTTGGGTTCCTCTTAATGCTGAACACTTCATTAACAATATTAACAGTTGTAAAGAACACACTCTGCATTAAGTTCTTTCTTTCTTGTTCTGTACTTCCCAGCAGTCACACTTGCCTATTCTAACTTTGTTAGCTTGTTCCAGAGAGCAGAGAAAGCAAACCAGCTCCTACTGAAAGAGGGGGCACAAATACTTCACACAAATGGGAGTGAGAAAGCACTTCTGAAGGTCATTACAAGCAAAAACTGAATGCTAGGATGACCCTGAACGTTCATCTCCATAGTAGAATGAATAAAGATTATGTTATCAGAGTGACGTTAAATATTGACTATGAACGCATTATAAATGGTTTTCCCCTGTAATTATATGGGCAAGATTAACTGAAGTTCTACATGAAAGCTATAATTTTTGTGATACTTTGTAACTCTACTTAATGGAACTCGTAATAAATGACCTATACTAGCAGGAAATACAGCAGAACAATTTTTATTTGGACTGCTAAAATACAAGCAGTACATTTCTAGAAAGCTATGTACACGTATTTTTAAAAGGCATTAAAAACAATTAGAAATATTATTTAGGTTACTTTGAAGGTAAAAACTTTCTTTACAAGTTGTTTTCATTAGCTGTAAACAAGCTACGCACCATATTTATGCATTTGATTGTGCAGAAAGTTTCAATTAAAACAGGCAAAAATTCTTGATAACTTTTCTGGCACGACTTTTGTTCTAAGTATTCCTCTACTTCTTAGTAAGTTCTACTTCTAAGTAAAACAAACTAACAAAGAAAAAAAGTAGATGGGTTAACTTTGCAGACTGTATTTCCACGAGTGCCTTCACTAGTTGTAAGTGAGCAGAGATTTTGTTCTGAATGCTGAACAGCAATCTGAATCCTTTGTAAGCCAGTTAATTCTCATAATGGACAAAGGTGGTAAACTGTACAAACTAAGGAGACTAAGGCTTATCTTTAGGGGTGCCTGAGGGTTTTCTGCAGGTCTCCTTTCCCCTAGAAATGAATATATGAAGGATTTTAATTAGAAGTTCATTAGCTTGGGGAAGCAGCTTCGCAGTCTGTACCTGCAGCTATACACTAAGTGTGAACACTTTTTCTCTGAGTGCCGTCCAGCAGCAGCAACACCTCTCCTTTGGGTGAGGTCCTTCCAGTCCCTCCACACGCACTCAACGTTTCGCACAGCACGGCAAGCCAGAATCGTGCTTCCCCGCAGCACCAGTGAGGCGGAGGTCGCAAACGCAGGCAAGCGTTGCAGTCACGTCTGCGCAAGGGGCGCACAGGCTTTCATCCACCGGATGGAGCTGGCGGCCACCTCCACAGCCTCCTGCCTCCACCAGCCGCCTTCCGGTACTGCTCTGGAGTCGGGCCACACAGGTAAGGCTGCGCGCTGAGCGCGCTGAGCCTGAGCGGGGCTTCCAAGTGTGAGAGCTCTGGGCGCGGCTCGAAGGCAGCCCCGCCGAGCTGCGTTCCGCCGGCGTTCAGTGGGCGTGCTGCAGGACGAAGGCGCACTTCTTGTAGGCGGCGTACAGCAGCAGGATGGCGCGCATCATCTGCTGGCACATGGCGGCGACCACCCTCGCTTCCGCCTCCCGCAGCCCGCGGGCCCGCCACCGCCGCGGGTCGACCACCCTGCAGAAAGCCGAGCGCTCCGAAACGCGCAGGACGCCGATCCGGCGCGGCGGCTGCGCCGTCACCAGCCGCTCGAAGACGGCGTCGAGGCTCTGCAACCTCACGGCTTGCGGCCGCGGCAACGCGGCCCCGCCGCCCCGCTGCCCGCCCGCTGCCGCCTGCAGGCCGGCCCAGCGGAATGGGTGCGCCGAGGCGGCGGGCGGAGGTTGCGGCCGCGTTCCCCGCAGCCAGCCCAGCGACTCGTCCAAGGGCGAGGGAGCCCACAGCCGGTAACCGTCCGCCATGGCGCCCCGCGGCCTGCCGGCATCTGCCCGCCGGGCACAGCCGTTGGCCGCGGAGGCCGTCTCCCGTCCTCCCAGCAGCCCTCCCGGCACCGCGGCTTCGTCTGCCGTTGTCTCTTTACACATCGTCCACGTCCTGTTCGTGCTTTATTCTAATCGTCGTCTGTCCTGTCCCGTCGTCCTCTCCCCCCTACCCCTCCCCATCCTCAGAACTCATCGTTTTCTGACTCAGTTACTGCGATCTGCCTTTCTGCAGCCTCCATTGGAGCCTGTCTCCGTGTGCCCCTTGTTTAGGGCTAATCTTGTGTGACCAACCTAGTGGCCTTCTCTGACGGTGTCACTGCAGCGGTGGACAAGGGAAGAGCCACTCGTGTCACCTGTTCTGAAACTCAGACCTTTGACATGGTACCCTGCAACATCCTTCTCTACAAATGGGAAAGATAGGAGTTTGGTGGGTGGACTGTTTGATGGATGAAGAACTGGCTGCAGGTCCGGGTCCAAAGAGATGGTGGTCAATGGCTCAGTGTCTGTATGGAGACTAATGATGAGTGGTGTCCTCCAGGGTCAGTGCTGGGGCCGATGCTCTTTAATATCGTCAGCAGTGACATCAGCAGTGGGGTTGAGTGCAGCCTCAGTGAGTTTGTTGATGACACCAAGCTGTAGGGTGCAGTGGACACACCAGAGGGACAGGATGCCTTCAGAGGGACCTAGACAGGCTTGAGCAATGGATCCAGATGAACCTCAGGAGGTTCAACAAATCCAAGTGCAGGGTCTTGCACTTAGGCTGAGGGAAGCTCAATTACCAATAAAAACTGGGGGATGAAAGGGTTGAGAGCAGCCCTGCCAAAAAAGACCTGGGGGTATTGGAGGATGGCAGGCTGGACGTGAGCCAGCAATGTGCCCTCTCAGCCCAGAAAGCTAGCCAGGTCCTGGGCTGCATCAAAAGATGCATGGCCAGCGGTGTGAGGGAGGTGATCCTGCTGCTCTACTGTGCGCTGGTGAGGCCTTACCTGGAGTGCTGCATCCAGATGTGGAGTCCTCAGTACTGGAGAGACGTGAAGCTGTTGGAGTGCATCCAGAGAAGGACCACAAAAATGATCCATGGGATGGATCATGTCTCCTGTGAGAACAGGCTGAGAGAGCTGGGGCAATGCATGTGCGTAAAGATTAGTGGGCTTTGCCAGGGACTGCTTCTCTAATTCGTGTTCCAATAAATGCTTTGCTGTGGACAGGGGAGGTTGTTGGTGGGTTTTTGCCTTTTTCTCTGCAGTTTTAATGATTCTTGTGGCAAAGCCTCCTGGACAACGCGATGATCCTCCCACCAGTAAAGAAATGAGATGTCATGGAAATTATAGCCACAGGTGGCAACTACACTCAGTAAGAAATTTGGTGGTGGTAGGTTGCCAGACTTGCCTGCAGTAACTCTGTCTTTCAAGTTGTTGATGACCTGCTTATCTCTGCAAACAAAATCTTCCTTTTAAATGGTTCTTGTTTGATACAAGGCTGTTGGAATGTGTACATACCAAGAATAAAGGAAAATGTAGGAAGTGTTCCTTAGAAATACCAAAGCAAATAAATATCGAAACAGTCATCACTGTTATGAGAACACATGAAATTCCCAATCCAAAATAGTGTTTTATTATGCTTGTGATGAAAGGAGGGTCCAATGTCACCTATTTAACTTAGCATAGAATAAGTTTTCGTTTTGGATTAATCTCTCTGGGAATGCATTTTTTAATTCACTCTAGCATCTGTGATTTGCATTAATATATGCAAAGCATTGTAACAGCCATACTCCTTCCAAAAGCAAATCTCTTCAGAATTAAATGCTCTGTTTTTCTAGAGGGAATTGCCTTTTGTTTGAAAAAAATCCCTAAACATTAATCTTTTTTTTTTTTTTTTTTTTTTTGGATAACCAACATACTGAGAGCACAGTACTCTGGCTTTGATAGCAAAATGCACAGAGCATTTAGCAGTAGTGGTATAAAGGGTTTAATTTTGCCTGTTATAAAACTGGAAAATTTCTTTACAGTACATGCATATATGTTGGCTACACTGGAGTGTCTCTATCCAGTACTAAAAGCACGTGTGGGTGTCTGTATATATGCATATTATCTGAGTATGTATACATGCATATTTTTGGCCTATTCTAAGTGGCAAATCGTGATATTATTTCATTTTCTGAATCAGGTTTTCAATCCTGAGGTCACTACTCAGCCCGTTGATTTAGGACTATTTGCAACTGATTTTACAGGGAGACTTGCTTTGTTAAAGTCTGAATAGAAAACTGATGACATCTTCACATTTTCGGTCTGAGTTAATACTGGGTGACTATGATTTGTTTCTTAGGAGCATAGGGGACCTGGAAGACCACAGTCTGTTTCTGTACTGTTAATGTTCAGAAGTCTACTTGTCCAGCCTCCTGCTTGCTGTGAAACCCTCCCAGGTAATCTTTTTTCAGATGTCAGCATACAGTTGGGTTGTACCTTGATGTGAATTCCTTGGTCACGAGGAAGAAGTAAAAAGTAATCATTTGAAGATCTGGTAGAGATTGTACCCCACTTTGTTTCTTTAGTTTAGTTTTTGTTTTTATTACTGTTATTTATTTTTGTCAGTCTTGAATCTGTGTTAACTGTATAGATATCTTTAAAATATCTAAAGGATGGCTTTTTGGAAAGACAAAAAACTGTATTTAAGGCTGCATTACTTTTCTTTACGTCTTTCTTGTTGCTCAGCTAGTTTGGTCCCTTTGTTTTGTTTTCTGTGACTCAAGGCCTAAGTACTATTGTACTATTTGACACATTTAGCTTCATAAAAGAGCCCCATGGCTTGTAATTAATAAGAGATGCTATAATCATAACCACTTTCTCACGGAACTGCACTATTTTTACTCGGTTCTTGACATTCAGACTTGTTAACATGCTGACACGTGTTTTACAACATTTCACAAACTTAGCATCTCTACCGTGCAGGCTGAATAGTAAATGCACTTTTCATAGCTTGTATAACTGCTGTTTAATAATAAGAAAAAAGATTCCAAATGGTCTATTTCAGCCATGTCCCAGCTGTGACCCGGCCCAGCCCTCCCTGCAGCCTCTCCCTGCCATGTGCCAACATGGTGGCAGCTCTGCTCTGCCTGGCCCAACAACAGCCACACAGTGGTGTGCAATCAGCACTGCCCAGGATGACAGGTTGAACCTTCCCACCAAGTATCCCGGTCTGACCAAATGGCCTCTGACATGGAAGTGCGTATGAAACCAAGGTCTGTCATTGAATTTCTCTGTGCACAAAAAATGGCACCCGCTGACATTCCTTGACGGTTGTTGAACGTTCTCAGAGACCAAACAGTGGATTTGAGCACAGTGAGGTGGTGGGTGGTGCGTGGCAGCAGTGATGACACTGACATTGAGTCACTTCCACTGGTGCAGATTTTTACAAGCATGGCATGCAGGCTCTTGGCTGTCACTGGTGAAAATGCGTAGCTATTGGTGGTGGCAGGGTTGAAAAGTAGTTTTTTTGTAGCTGAGAATTTGCTTTATCAAACACCATTATTGTGTGCTTTGTCTCTGTTGCAGTTTCCATTCACTGGTCCCCATGGAAGTTCAGCAAGCGTCAATGGGACAAGGAGAGAACAGGCTGAGGACAGCAATCCCTAATTGGCCTTCTCAGGGTGGAGAACCCCAGCACCAGGGCCCAAGGACCTCACAGGCCCTCCAAGGAACCCCTTGCAGTCTAAGTACAGCCCATAGGATGCCAGGCCCCCTCTTCCCCATCATTCTCCTTTGGAATCAGGGCAGAAGAGATGCCACCTTCTCATACCCAGATACAGAGGTGAGGGAGGGAAAGGACAGCTGATGGAACCCTTAAAAGTCAACCATTTTTTAATGATTGCATATCCCTTGGCTGCTTGCGTGATGTCAGTATGCTTTGCCTCTTCTCTGCTGCTGTCTGGCACCAGGATGGCTTCACCCTATGCAGCTGCAGGGTCATTGAGAGCCCCCTTCTCCAATCCTCTTGGTACCTTCCTGCAACCATCTCACAGAATGGGCCATGGGTCCCAACTCCCAACAGCCGTGTTTTGTTCACCACAGGACACTCAGAATCCTATTGCCATGGCCACCTTCTGTTTCAAGCCCTATAAATACGGGGACCCTGCATACAGAACACCAGTTGCTGAGCTGAAGCAGCCAGTGATACCTGTGAGATATATTAAGAAGTTTATTTCCCAGAATGAGGATGAGGAATCCACCTTTCAAGAAGAGACAGATGATGGAAATGGGCGATGACATCGAGCCCATGGAGGTGGATTCACCTGGTAGTGATGAAGAGCCACATGGAGGTGGGTCAACCTCTGGAGAATGACCTGATGGAAGTGGATCCACCTCCATTGGAGCAGACCGGTCACCAAGCCATCACTGTCAGGCCAACTATGAAGAGATTTGCGCCCCAGAGATTAGCATAGGGGCACTGGGATCAATATGCCTCCCTCCAAACAGCTTTGGAGGGGCCTCCCTCCAAACAGCTGCCTCGATGCAGGTGCTGATCCTCCCATCCCATAGGTTTATTATAACCCGGGAGGAGCCTCAGCTCAAGGCCATCCTGTGGGCTCACATGGAGCCTTCATTTCCTGGTAATTCTTCTTTTGACAGCCAAGGCTGTTACGAGCCCATCCTTCCTTTCCTCCTTCCTCATCCTTTCTCAAGGGAAAGAAGGGATTAGAAGTGACAGCTGTACCTGTGGAGAAGCAGACTTTAGTTCAGACAGGAAGAAGCACTGAACTTCAGCAGGAAGATCCAATCCAGATGCTCCACGTGGACTTTTTTTTCAAGGTTAGGCAGCCAACAATTTAAAATAACAATTCAAAATAAATAATAAAAACACAAAATAAACATTTTTTTTTTCTTTTATAAAAATTGTAGTTGTCTCTTTTTTTTTGTTTTTTTTTGAAATGTAGAGTTTGCACATAGGTTCCTGCATCCCCTCCTTGTTTCTACCCAACAGGA